AAAACGCGTATTATAGCCGTATATCCGACATTTTGTGCTTTGGGGGATGAAAAAGTTGAAGCTGAAAAACCAGCCATTTGGTCTGGCTAACTTTTCACCGTGCAAACCCGTGCGTGGGCGATACTATCCGCGAGAGGGGGGAGGAAATACTGAGGGAAGGGAGTGAGAGGGGAGGAGGAAGAAAGAGGTGAGAAATAAGGGATGGACGGGGAAAGGAGAATGCCAGACGGAGATGCGCACAACGCATGCGTGCACTCTTGCCTTATCGGTCACCCTCTTCTCTCTCTCTCTCTCTCTCTCTCTCTCTCTCTCCTCTCCTCTCTTCTCTCTCTCTCTCTCTCTCTCTCTCCCTCCTCCTCCCTCCCTCCCTCTCTCTCTCATCTCTCTCTCTCTCCTCTCTCTCTCTCTCTCTCCTCCTCTCTCTCTCTCTCTCTCTCTCTCTCTCTCTCTCTCTCTCTCTTACACGCACTCTCTCTCTCTCTTCGCAATATTTCTCTCACGCACGCACGCACGCAGGCAGGCACGTACGCACGCACACCACACACAACGAATACGACACACGTCTCTCGCGCTCTCTCTCTCTCGCGCGCCTCTCTCTCTCCCTCTCTCTATCTCTCTCTCTCTCTCTGTGTATATATATATAACTCCCTCTCGGAATTGTTCTGTCTTTCTTGGGCGCTATATACACAATGTATATAATATGCTTGCCTTTTTCGTCTTCTTTCCCTTGCTCACTTCCTTACTCCCCTTCTACACCACGTACAATATCACAAGGCACGCACGTACGTTTTATTGAAGCACATACACAGACATTACATTACGGAACGCGACAATTCCTCTCCACTCTTTCTTTTCTTTCTAACTCTTTTTCTTCCTAGTGACTTCTCTCTCTCTCTCTCTCTCTCCCTCTCTTTTGCTCTCATTGTAGGGCGCTATATATATATATATATATACTCGCCTCTCTCTCGTTTCTTCCTGCGTGTATATGAAAAGAATGAAAGACTACCTTCTATACACCGCCTTTCGACTACACATACAAACACGTACACCAAAATAAACACCTATGGTGTCAGAGGGTTGGGGCAGGTGAAGACAGGCGACTTTTTATACTACTGCTACTGCTTGCACTGCTACTGCTACTGCTACTGCTACTGCTACTGCTACTGCTACCACGCTACTGCTACTGCTAACTGCTACTGCTACTGCTACTGCTACTGCTTACTGCTACTGCTACTGCTACTGCTACTGCTACTGCTACTGCTATCCTCATGCTACTGCTAACTGCTACTGCTACTGCTACTGCTACTGCCACTGCTACTGCTACTGCACTACTTACTACTATTTACTGCTTACTACTACTACTACTATTGCTACTGTGCTATTACTCCTGAAGGTACCGTACTTCTTGCATCCAGTCTAGCCGCGACCACACGTAGACCCCTTTTGATTTACGCTCGTTTTTTGGAGCTATATCCGCACTAGCTCCTCTACCCGTGGTCAGTAGCCTCTTCTCTCCGGCTACAGGGTATCCACGCGTTCTGTATAGCCGGAGCGAATGTGTTACCGTCCGAAAGGGTAGACCTAAATCTGTCTTTGATATTATATTATAATAATATTATATTATACCTAAAAAACGACATGATGTTGTAAAACAAGCACGGAGATTACCATGGCATCTTCTAACGAGTGATCGTGTCCCGATTACTAATGCTTTGCAAGTGTTTTGTGTGAATTGTTGCAGATGTGGCAAAAAGTGTACCAGCGCATCCTATCATTTCGTTGCTATCATCCTATCAGGAGTAAAGATAATATAGAATATTATATTATATTATTCTATATTATCTTACTCCTGATCCTTATCTATCTATCTATCTATCTATATATATATATATATATATATATATATATATATATATATATATATA